TTTTTTGTGTATGAAATTTGTATTTTTCTGCTTTTTTAATTTGCTATTTATCCTTGTTACTTTTTGGTAAACATAGTATTCTGCAATTTTCTGACCTCCTAGCTGCCTAACTCGATTAGCTTTTCAGCTATTTTAGGTAGCTGTGCTCGTGTTTTTGCAATTTTGAATTTATGTTTCATGTATAAATTCTTTCCTCCTTGAGTGCAAATAAACTATTGTTGTTGTTGTTGTTGTTGTAACTAAATAGAGTTCGTTATTTGGAGCAAACTACAGACACCGGCACCCCCTAACCCCGTAAGTATTCTTAGGCTTTTTTACTAGTAAAGCGATGCATGATATCATGGTCTCTGAGATGCATTTCTTCATTATTCGGGGACACGTCCTCGAACTAACGAATTGCTGGATCCCCCTTGAACTATATATATATATATATATATTGTAACTAATGTATCATAAAAGCACATAGGTAAATCATTTTACATTATTCATAGTAATCTCGTATTATGATGAATTTCAATTCATTTTAATTTAGTTCAATGAATCATTTTATCCTGAATAGCCAAGTTTGTATCTACGGAATGTCCATTCCATAAAAATAGACTTTAACGACTTCCGAGGATTCGCATTATCGAAAATGGCCCTCTCTAAGTAAGGGTCGATCAATGTCGTAAAAAACCGATTCTGAAGAACCTTTTAAAATAGCAGCTGATTCCATAATTCTTCGTTTGCACGCTACGTCATCGAGGCCATGTTGGTACCATTTAACAAAAGATTTCCCATCAGCATCCATTGTTAACGGTACCACAATGGCCGCCATGTTTTTGTCTTTTAACTCTCTTGGGAATGCTTGCAACCCATCAATACACTTTACAGTGTCGCCTACTAGACGCGAGAGTATCGAGAGCAGCTTGAGTGGATTGAGGACCAAATGAATAGAGGTTATTACACTGCTAGCTGTGTATAACAGCGGGATAATTTCACGAACGAAAGTCGCCGTTTCACGAGTAAAATTATTTTTTCAATTTTTTAAATTAAAAGTTAAACCTGTATTGAGCGGTCACATTAGGGGAACGACGTATTGCCCGCTTATTGCAGGTTTATCGTTTATTACAGTTCTAAGGATAGTGAACCCCTTCGACTGATATTGTTTTACAAGGGTGGCCATTTGATACAGATAAGGACAAGTAAAAGTGGCCCAACATATAGCTTATGATGATCGCCCGCGCATTTGCTTTATAGAGGTGACCGCGTTTAATAAATGTCTACTATGCAAACGTGGAAGCAATGTGCAGGACTTGTACAAGTGAATGCTTTACAGAGGGTGACCACTCAATGCAGAGTCGCTTTATGCAGGTTTTAATATCTCCTGATGCAATGGAATTACCCATGCATGGGTTAACCTGAGTGTATGTACTTCATTTGACATAAATTGTTTTGAATCAAAGATGAGGAGGGTTTTTTATTTCTTTGTATTAAACTTATAATCACTGAGCGCATTTCTACATACTCATCTAGGAGTTCCCAAAAACACAGGTTTATTGAGCTATGATACATTACAAGTCTTAATACTTAACTAAGTAAATATGGTTCAAGCGGTCACCTTATTACCGACCAACCTCTGTTTCACGACCAGTCGCTCTTAATATAATATATGATTAATTTTCACACCTGTTTCTTTTGACCTCTATTAAGCGACCACCTTCTTTTGCGCAGCTACCCTACCCCAATGTGGTCTTTTAGTTCAATTCTTTCTAAATATTGTAATCGATAATATACCCCTAACTATATGTACAGTGTATATTGTTGGGCTGTGGCCTCCTTGCTGACTGCACTTGCTACACATATGACTGATATTGAAATTATCAATCCTCTACAGACTGGCGGATTTAGTTCCTAAGAAAAGGACATGGCCACCACCATGTTCGATGATTAAGCAGAAGATAATAATGCCATTCTTTCGTGTTTTTGTATTTGTTCTTGTCAGTTTTTATGGTTGGTGTGGTTTTGTTAAATTCATCCAAACATAGCGGCTATTACAAACAGCAGTACATAGTCGGTTTTTGAAAAGCTTTCATTCGTTAATTACGTGGATCATATACTGATGATCCATGGTCAAAACTAGCTTGTTCGTTGGCTATATAAATTGATTACATAAGTATATCACTTCTGGTAACTCTTAATATATATATATATGTAAGTGTTAACAAGTTGATAAAGGTTTTAAAGTCTTAGAATATAGATTATGGTAATCTGCAAAGAGTCGAATGACTCGTTTTACACTGAAGAAATAGCTAACGCGTGTGCTGTGTCCATTTTTGAAGTCAAAAAGGGATTAGGAAAACACGAGAAGCATGATGCGTAGCAAAGTGCTTCTCAACACTTTTGAAGTGCTCTGCCAACCCCCAATTGCTTTTTTTAACTCTATACACAGCATAAAACGGAAGTCAGTTTTATATCAGCTTTTTCAGTTTTATAAAATACAAATAACTAAAACCGTTATTTTGATAGGAATGACGCAACTGCGAAAGATCTTGTACGTGCTGTGTGCTCTCATTGGGCACCTGCTTCAGCCAACCACAACGCCAGATTTATAACTGGCTTTTATAAAATTAGCTAGACTAGATTTTACATGGCTGGGAAGCGCTTACGGTATAGTCACTGTCAGGGCACGAAATGGACGACATCTATTGAACCAATCACATTGCAAGGGGTTAATATTCATCCAATCAGAATGCTCGTACACAGCACCGTCATAGTCAGGGCACGGCCCATCCCAAATCCTTCGTCACGAACCTGTTATTAATTAATCAATTAATTAATACCTTTCTCTGATCGGAGGACGGACGACACAGACGTTATTAGGGTCGTCACGTCGTCACACAATTTCGTGACCAACCCTAAAGCCGCGATTACACGAAGCAATTTTCTCTGCAACCTGTCTCACAACGCTGTTGCGACACAAGTTGCATGACTGTTTACACGGTGCAACTTTTCGGAACATTTTTTTTTTAATTTGCGCTGTAGGTTACACGGTGCAAAGCTCCATGCAGCTTGTGTCGCAACACCGTTGCGAGACAGGTTGCAGAGAAAATTGCTCCGTGTTATTTCTCCTTAAGGGTTCTAAGGACGTCTGCGCAGGCTAGAAATAGAGTTTACTACAATGATTAATTGAATGCTGAATAAATGATCTCTTTGTAATAATCGAGTTCTTTTCTAGTGTTTGTCAGACCGATATTCATCACTGTTTTTTCAGACACGGAAGCACTTTGCTAGCAATTTTTCTGTACGATTTCCTAAACTGCATGTTACGATAGCTGAATAGTACCGGGTTTAAAGCAGAATTTAGGTATCCCAACCAGAGAAGAATCGAAAAAACCTCTGAAGGAATAAGAGTATAACATGGCACACTACAGATATTGAATGCGATACTCATGGTAGTGAACGGAATCCAGCAGATCAGAAAAGTACCGACTATGATCGAGATAGTGCGGGCAGCCTTCGTATTTTTCGTTAGGTGTTTTAGGCGTCTCTGGTTTGAGTGCGTCAGTGAATCTCTTTGCCGTTTGAAAGTTCCTTTAAATTCGCCCGGGGGCGGGGGACAACCCTTGCTCTCTGAGCTTGATTCTCTACGACTTTCTATGAACTCATCTTGGTTTTCGATCGACCTTTTGTGGAATTTCCTGAGGCTACAGGACTCGTCGTCATTAATAGCTTCACTTTTTTTATTCAAAGGTTTTGCGAAAGGTAATTTTGTCTTTCGTTTGCACAAGGAGTTATCAGAAGTAGAGCTTGATACGGTAGGTTTACTCTTGATGCACTTGTTGTCTAGCCGCGAACTGGGATCATAAAACCTTTTAAAACTGTTCAAAGATATCGATGTTTTTAGCTGGGATTTTTCTGTGAAGTTTTCTTGACTGCTGCGATCCTTGTTTTCCTTCTTGCTCTCAGTAAGCCCTGCTTTGACCTTTTCCATCTCGCTATCCAAGTTGCTTGGATGTAATACTGTAGATGACTGAGGAATGATTTCTTTAGAGCTCTTTTTAATTATTGCACGTTCATCTTTCTCAACAGACTCCCGCATTACGGCTTCTCGAGTGGATAAGGATGACGTTAACTCGTCTGAGGAGAATCCTGGTTTATTATCGCCACTTCGGTCTTTAACATTCCTGTTTTCTGCGCGGGTTTTCGTTTCGGAGTCAAGTTGTTGAATATCGTTATCAACACTGTCACACCTTTTCAAGCCATATCGATACTTGCGGAGATCATCATTGTTCTTTGTAGAGACTAAGTCATCAGTACGAGTATTGATGCATTGGTTTGTTATACGTGGTTTGTTGCTAAAACCTACGTTGATATCGTTGATATCCACTTTTCCTAATGGGTTAACACGAATCGCATCAAATTTTTCATTTGCGCTTTTGTTTTCTTTTCCAGTAGGTTCCTTTTCCGGCCTCAACGACTTGTTTGCCAGGTTCTCCTCGAAGTAAAAGGACACATTCTCCAACCCCATCACCTCTCGGGTCGCCGTTTCTTGGTTCGTTGGGTCAACATTCGGATACTGTTTGGCAGACGTTCTCCTTGGACTTTCCAAGGTATTGACAGTACTGACTCCAGATGCATTTCCTGACCCAGTTGCTTGATCATAACGCGTCTTCAACGCTAAGGGGAACTTGATGTGCGCACGAGCGATCTGGTAGACTTTATAATAGATATAGCACATAGCAAACATAGGCAGATAGAAATTGAATGCTGAGCCGACGATACTGAAATTCAATGAAATATTAAACCAACAGTAGTTGTTTTTTACGCTTCTGGGATAAGCCTTCCAGCCCATGACGGGAAGGAGCGCGAAAGCAAAGCAGTAGATCCATAAGATAGCAATTGTAATGATAGCTCTTTTTGTCGTCATCGAATGAGATTCTTTGTATCTTTTCCAAGGGTTTTTAAGCGTCTTATAACGATCGATGCTCAAAACAAATAGATTCCAAATGGATGAGGGAACGGTAATGAGATAAGCCGTGGTCCAAATCACACACATCGTTTCACCGTGGTACCATTTTCCATGCGTTGTGAATTGCTCGAGATCAAACGTCATTGAAAGACATGTCGTCCCAATGTCGGAAATCGCAAGGGAAACAATGAAATAGGAGGACACGTTTTGACGTAAATTCGAGTTGATGCAAACCGCTAGACAAACCAGGATGTTGCCCATAAGAGCGGCAAAGATGATCAGAGAGTAAAGCACTACTAAGGTAACGTTAAATGAACTGTAGTACCACGGTGAGAGGGAATTACCTACGCCACACGATGTTCCATTCCCGACGCTCGTACAGTTTCTAGCTGTTGCATTGTACAGTGAATTCATCTTAACCCCCTACAGAGCACTAGTTCAACTGTGACTTCTTGAGAGTCGGGCTTAGGCTCAGTCTTTTAGCCGGAAAGCTAGAGAGACCTTTCTTGTAAGCCGGTCAGTTCAAAACTGGCTTGAGAGCGCAAATCGTAGGATTTATACCAGCTGTTCAGCCCAATTGAGATGGCAAAATGCGTCAATCATAAATCTTCTTTTTGAGATCTAATATATTTCGATAATAGAAAATACATCGACTTCAAGGCTGGTCTTCTTGTTCAAATCGTCTTGATAGCAACACGAACAACTTTTTTCCTGCAGGTCTTGAGTTTCATGGAACATTAGGCAAAGATTATGGGCCTGTCATTAGGGAATCCGCGTCTGGTATCGTGCGTTATTCCATCACAAATGAAAAATCGAGATCTATCTGTTTTTTCGCTGCAGAATCAAAATGGATAATCAGGAACGACTGCAACCAATACGTTATCTGTAACTTCTGTGTCTAAAAATACCTCAAAGCCACGAATGTTATATTCGGCCGAGAGATTAGTGACCCCACAATAGTGGGAAAGAAAAATACCTTCCTCTTGGTCTTTAATCAAAGTCATTCAGTGTTGTCAGTGTTGAAACCTAGAAAAATATACATGTTTTGAGCTATTTCTGATGGCTGTTGTGAGATAGAGGGTAATACAATAATGAGGTCTTAAGATACGCATTGGGAGTATGATTTAAATGACAATCACTAATGCATTTAGTGGGCGTATAGTTTTGGTTATGGTCAAAACTCATTCACACCATGTTTTTAAATGCCGGATTAAGCGTCCGTATGAAAACAGCCACGAGGAAGCGCTCCAAGTGTACCCTGAAAATACAAATAAAGTGAACTTTAACGTGGTCTGTGCAAAGTAGATGAAGTACGACTTGAGGATATCATTAAAAATAAAATAAATGTTATTAGTTATTATCAAAATTAGAGACAAACATCATGGATGTTTTTTTGTTGTTGTTTTTTTGGCTATTTTTCTATATTTATTGATGGTACATCTACTTGACTAAACTGTTCAAGAAGAGTTTTTCAATTGAAATAAATAAATAAATCACTTGTAATATTAAAAAAGGTTAAAACAAAAAAACATGTTGGTTGATATAGGCAACTGAAGACTATCGATAAATCTTGTCGTTAAAAAAAACCATCATGGCGGCAAACCAGTCAATGGAGCGGGAAAACACCGGGGAAAAACCAAGAAAAAACTTCTCGAAGGGCAGGATAGAATGATAATAAATGTCTGTTTATTTCCAAGATATAGCTCTCTACTCACATGATAATGGAACGAGGGAACCAGGAACGTAGCGGAGCGATGCGTCGAGATGCGGCACGCTCAGCAGCGCAAACGTAGCCACGTTTAAAAGCCGGCGTTGTAACCTAATTTAAAGATGCATACACTGGTATAATATGTAACTAAACTCACTTCTAAATCACTCATTTTCCTCTCGATATAACGATTTTTAACTGTAACTAAAAACGACTTGTACACACTGTAGACACAGTCACGCACACCAAAAACGCCCAAAACTTGTTTATTTTTTTTAACCAAAGCTTTTTAGCTTAATTATTCTTCAAAATGAGTTTAGCGCTCACTTTACGTTATGGGTCATGTTTTCAAATTTTCACGATAGTAATATTTAACGAACAGCTATTAAGTTCTCACGAAATGCTAAAATTATATTGGTGTTTTAAAATAAAATATCTGAGATCAAGTTTTGTATTTGCCCAAGGCCGACTGACAAACACGGTTTTTTGGTTCAAATTTTGGAGTAAAAATTTATCTGGTGTCGGCAAAGCAGAAATTCAAACTACTTTGTGACAAACAAGACAGATGAACTATCTTAAAAGGGATCAGTAGTGAGTCTAAATCAAGTAAATAGCTCCTCTGAGTCTAGCGGCATGATTTCCAACTACACTGGTTGCATAACGACGAGAAAGAAAAATTAAAAGAATAGCTAAGCAGGTGGTTATGATTTTACTTTAAGGGATCCTAAGTGTCTTTTTTTCTTAATTCCTAATCATTGTTTATTGAGAGATTAAGGCATAACACGTACTAAAACAGCCATTTAATCATAGAGGGCTGCTTTCTAAATAAAAATAATAGAGTTAGTGAGAAATGCATGGAAGATGTGAAAACAATGGATAGAATGATGCATAATATTCCACCCGTGAGTGCAAGCCAGAGCTCCATTCAATGGCGTCAAGTCTCTATCAGATCTATCAAAACATTGAGACATTTACTACAAAAATGAATTATATATAAGAAGTTAAAGAGAGCTCTTTCAGTCAGTGGACATATATAAAGTAACCTGCTAGAAACACATCATACGAATTCTGTCAGTAGACTAATGTGTTTTACAAGGAGCGCAAATAAGTTAAAAAAAACACACAATAAAAAAATTAAAGTAAATTAGAACTTTTAGGCAAAACCCTGATCCTTTGCTTAAATATATTCAAGTTGTTTACGTCAATAACAGCTTTGCTTTAAGATAAATTCTTATAAGCTTCATTTATGATAAAGTCTTAGTATCGCCCAGAAAAATGGCCGTGATTATTGCACAGAGTACTTAGCTTATAGTGACGCAAGACCGAATAACTAGTGGCCATCAGATTAGCATCTCAAGATAGATTTTCAAAAAAAGCTAGCCGGGCTTACTAATCTAAAATCCAGAAGGATTTTGAAAGAAATACTAGGAAAATATATTGTATAGGGGGTCTATGTTTCGAAAGGATGGACTTTAATGCAGAAGAATGGAATAAGCTCTGGTTTTATTGCTTGAAACCCTATCGCAACATCGATCACTGCTTTTACATCGCTATCATACGATTTGGGCTCAAAAAACTGTATTCGGTCTGAAATTTGACATGAAAATATATAATGGAGATCATGAAGTGGGGTGAGAGCGGCATGTGCGAGTATTACACCGGTGCTAGGTGTCTCTCCCTTATTTCGTAAACTACAATTCGCCGCATAGTATATACAACTATCCTTAGATTATTGTTTTTTCTAAACATGTTTTGGTAAGTGAAAATGTGCACGAGATATTAGATACTTATTGATACGGAACTTAAAAAAAAAAGATTGGATAGTATTTGATTTTTCTTGTTTGAAATTTGTGGCCTTATTCAGGCCTCCAAAAATTGCAAAGCCGACTGTATTTCAAGTCGTCTTGCGGGATATTGGGAAAAGTTTTCAATCAGCAATAACCGCGCCTCGGATAGACCTCACTGGCTACGGTAATGCCACTGCGCAAAGATAACAATAATTTTTCTACAAGGTCAAGTCATTGTAAGCAACACATCACTACGTGTGGGATGGATTAGCAAAACACGCCAAAAGCTTTTTCTAGGTTATCCAGTTTTCCTCCCTTCGCGAAATCAACTTAACTTAGCGAATCCTTTTGGGAATCAAGGCTGGTGCATTGGTATAGTAATCTCGCCACACCTCTGAGGTTCGATTCCTGGACATTTGACATGCGCATAGGCGTTTGTTAGGTCTCTCCCTTGATTCAAGTGGTATTCTCTAGGTTCGACTGCAGCTTATCTCCCGTTCGCAAAGTCTATATAACTGACGCTAAATCATTTCCGCAATTCGATTTCGATCTGTAAGTTAAGTTCAACCGTGCGTTGAATTCGATCAGCCCAGAGGTTGCCTTCCGGGTATCGATATAAATCGTATTTCTTTTTCTTCTCCGCGCTGACCAACCATTGTCAAAATAGCATGACTTAAATAAAATCAGAGCGTTTTAAATTGTTACCGCTTTATGAAGAGCGATACGACTATAAAACACAGTTCACAGTCCTTCATGATCAAGGCCTCTAGATTCGATGGTCATATAACAGAACTTCGTAAATCAAAGACGAGGCTATTTCGTTTATAACTCATTCACTGAGCACCATCGACAAATCGGAACATTTCAATTTATTTTATAGAACGAGAGAAGAAGCAAACAGAACTCAAAAATAGACGATAAACGAATAGGGTTATGAAACAGAGAAGAGATGAAATCGGAAAAGCCCCTCCCTCCCCCTCTCCCCTTCGTTATCCATTGTATTTGACGCACAGAAAGGTGAAATATCAAAGCCTTGTTGAAAAAATAAGCCGCATTTCACAGCGATGAATAATATACAAAGGGCTTATTTTTCTTGGAATTCAATGACGAAATCTCTAGAATCCAAAGATTAGACTTTGAAGAAGCATTTTTGGCATTTATCCATTAATTACAAAATCCGGTCATACTGAAAGATAATACCATTGCTTTTAGAAGAAGTTAATTGCTAATGCTTTGGGCTGTGGACAACGTTCGAGCACTCGCATATCATTCGTTTGCATAAAAGTAGGGTGACTCTGGTGCGCATGCGCATGCTTTATTATTATAGAACCTGAACTGGGTTAGCGAAGTTAGTTTAAATTGAATCTTGTATAAAAATTAATGATTACGAAATAGAATAAAGATTCACGTCAAGAGTACATACATTTAGAGACCTTTAGCATCATTTTTACTGCTAACCGCTAGCTGCTAGACACGCCCGTAAACACGGAGAAACATTCAGCATATGTTGAAAGTTTGACGTCGAACTGTAGTTTGAAGTTTGCAGTGCGCTGCCTTGCAAGAACGTCGTGCTGAAGATCTGTATTATATTATAATTCACTACAACTTAGTACATAATTGGAAGTATGCGCTTTGATCTATCTTGCTTAGTATGGAGACAATCAGTTGGTTTCTTACCTCAGAAAATGCATTATCATAGTAGTAATATATCCAGCGTTTTTATTCTTTATCCAGGTTCTTTAGGAGAAGGCTGATAAAACATTGCCAGCCCGAGCTACGAGGGTTTGGTCTTGTAAAGAAAGAGAGAATAACATGTTAGTTGGATGAATGTTTTGCCTTTCTTGACTAAATTAGTATTTTCTCCTGTACGATATAACATTTATCACGCTAGTTGCGAGGATGACTGAATATTGTGTCTAATTTATACATAAATCTAAAAAGATATGAAACTTGCACAGACCGTTCAGGTGCACCTTGGATATGTCTTATCACTTTTAGTCAGCTACTCGAAAACAGGTCACGCGCCGCTAAGACTCATATTAAAATAAAAATCCTTCATTTGAAATATGAACGATAAGTTAATGGAAATAAGTTGAAATCCTATGTAATGGAACAAAAAAATATTATAGGGAAATTTTTTTAGGGTTCTGAAAACGAACTCGAGATTTTTAAAAACGCGAACCTGGGTGTAACCATTGGCAAGATTCATGTATCTATCTATGGCAACTATACCGGTTACAATGTTAATTACCCGTAACTTTTACTGTGCAAATAAAACACTACACTATTTGCATGATTCGAGCCGATAACCGTTCATTAACTTCCACGGGAAGTCAGTTAGATTGGCTATAATAATTGATAGGGTAAACTTGAACTTCCTTAGTAAACCCACACACTTCCTTAACATCTTTGATCGAACTGTTCCTGTTTTGAAACGATATTAACAAGTGAGCGATCTACCGCTATTCCTGAATTCAAGCAGCAATTTTTGGGGAAGTTCTAGAAACAACATCGTTTTAAAACCAATAATCATAATAACATTTCTGGAAAGTCATAGCATTATACCATGTCAATTGAAACGCCAACGCCTAGGACAGGGCGAGGAATTTAACATTCACTTAGTGAATCCGGTCCGCGGAGAAAGATTTACTGTCCAAATTGTTGAAGTTGCTGCTGTTAAAATCTTGTCAAACTGTAGAAATAGGCGTTAAGCTTATTCATATTCCTGAGCATTCACGCTAATGAATGCGTGTTCAATCCCCGGTTTCGCCGCGTTAAATTCCCGCCCAGTCCCGGCAGTCAGAGGTTTCAATTGACTATTGCGTATGCGGTTTTTCAAACACCCGATACCCGGCAGTCTAGAGCTAGTCTAAAGCTCTTAACAGAATAATAAAGACATTGATTCAATATGTACGAATTTTGGAAAGATCTAGAGAAGTGATTCTACAAATGCAAATCATCGCGTTGAACTCACGGGAACGATTTTCCGCTAAATATTAGATAGCTCAGAGAGAAAAAAAAGAGAGAATAATAAAATTTAATACTTGGTCGAGTTCTGTCTTGAGAAAAAGGATTGATTCACATACTACAGTTCACGTTTCTGATTTAATACTTCGTTCATTTAGTCTACTAATGCAAATCAATTGTGATTAACTGGAAACGAAAAATAAACCTTTAATAAAGTCTTCCTGTTAATGATACATTGAATAGACAACGCGTACGAGTCAGTTGTGTTTAACAGATCAAAAACAGTTTTCCGTGTTTGATACTCTGATTAAAACACGCGGGATGTTGGGAGAACACGAGAGGAGAGTTGGAAACCACGACGCGTAATTTCCAGCTTCTCGAGTGTTCTCCCAACATCCCAAGTGTTTTGATCAGAGTATCAAACACCGAAAACTGTTTTTGATTTGTTTCATGATAAAATAACAAACTCGCTAAAAGATCGAAAAAAGCAAAATTTAAGTAAATTCTCTCTACATGCCGTCTTATTCAAACTGACCAATGAGCGCGCGCGATAGATTAAAATCTGACAGTTGCAATACTCGCGCGCGCTAAAATGACGATAGCGTGTTTTGATACTCTCATCAAACATGGTTTTAGACCAATCATAGCGCGCGTAGTATTCCAATTATTTTATAAACAGTTATACAGCACGCGGGCCGGATTGGCAGAACACAAGAGAAGTGTTAGGAGAAGCAATGTACGTTACAGGAATTTATACAGTTAATAAAAGTTACTTCATAAATCTTACATGTGCTGCGGAGTAAAAGTGCAGACCATGATAAAATGTGGTTGCTATAATCTTGAAATCCCAAGGGCGGATCCAGTCAAAATTTTAGGGGGGGGGGGGGCTAATTGAGTTTCTTTCGTCAATATAAACAATATAAAAAAGCATCGTTTTTTTTCTGAAGGGGGGGTGGGGGCTTCAGCCCCCCTTTGCTCCCCCCTGGATCTGCCCTTGAATCCCTCCATAGTTATATGTTACATGTAGTGCTACATGTACAAGACCACTTAGCTAAAGTGTTACAATTACAAAAACAAATTAGTTAGCTAGCTCATATGCAGCTTTACTTTAACTCTTGTGTTAACATGCAGAGTTAAACTTAGTTGGGCTGCATGTTGGCCAGAGTGAAGGTATGTGTGCTTTTTGACCAGTACATTCACCAAACATCAGTTTGCCAATCAGCCGACTGTTGGCCAATGCCTGGCTCAACGTTGGCCGTTGATTGGGCAAACGTCAACAATTTGTCCACCAACAGAAGAGAAAAATATATAGAGTTAGAAAATGAACCAATCATTCCAAGCGGTAAGTAGTAAATTACACTTTAAATCAGAGCTATGATTGTAAAAAGAGCCCATATACTTTAATACTCCATTTTACAGTTCCGTTCAGTGACCACGAATAATAGTTCCTAGCCCAGGCTGGAGTTTCAGCGCATAGCAAAACTATGCTTTTTATCGTGTTCAGCAACTCCAACCTCAGCTTGGAACTATTATTCAAGGTCACTAAATCTAATTAAGTACAGGTAGCAATTATTAATAACACAGCTTTTGGAAAATTGCCAAAAAGGTAGAAATCAAGACATTCCTTTTGTTTTATCTGCACAAGTAGCAAGTATTAAAAACTACTAAGGTAATGATAATGATAGCTTATGCTCATGAGTCTACCCTGGTAAAAGATGTAATTATTATTATTTTTTATTAGAGCACATGCAGTAAAACCATGTAATGAAAACAAAGTCAATACTGACAAATAGTGGCTATTCAGTAGCTAATAGTTCTGGTTAGTGATAGCAACTATTAGTTGCTAAATACCTATTTTTCAGTATCAATTTTGGTTTTATTTCATGGGTTTACTGCATGTGCTCTATTACTTGATTTTGATTCCTGTCGAATATGATTTCCTATTGATATAAAAAGCATGCATGTTTTAGCAATCAGATGACCATGAAATAAATCATTATTTACAATACATGACTATACATGAATGCATTCCCATGTGACAGCTTGATAGGATCTACTTCACAATGACTGAATGTCCTTGATCATTTCACTAAGACTTAGTCACTTCCAGAAAAAACTAAAATTACAGGAATGGTTAGCAAGCATATATGGAGGTCTGGCTGGATGAACACAGTGAATCGCTAAGCACAAAAGAACTTGTGTTTCTATGGCAACCTCCGACATGCTTGGCAGATATGGATATGCACAGAGCTAAGCACCGACCATTGCTTCTAGACAATGTTACTAGTTGTAAGTATATATCAAGCTGCTCAGTTGGTGCATGCTCCATCATTTTCATAGTAGACAGACAGCTAGCCAATCAGAGCATGAATTATATAGCACTAGGCTATGCTTATAAATAAAGCTTGAATCATGCATAGCTGTTCAGTCTTTCATCATCGTACCAATGAAGGCTGGTGTAACAAGATACTGCAGTTCCCTATACTTACCTAATTTAATTTGCTAATTTTATGCTGAATATTGTGGAACTGCCATTAGACTGTATATGTGATTGAAGGATTTGATTTGTTTATATTGAATTGAAAAAAAAAATAGACCAAAATAACTATAAATAAAAACATTATCAAGATTTTTAGATTATGCTTTACTAGAAACAGGTTTTAAGTCATGGGGAAGCAAATTATTTAGGCTTCATTTGAGAATTGGTGGTATTTTCCGTCTTCAGGCTCTTCATCTGTATTTTTATAGAGACCTTGAAAGCAATGAAAATTATCTCAATTTTGCTCTAGTAAATACATAAACACTAAATGGGAGTAATAGAGGATATTACATGGGCGCGTGGAGATACTCAAAATTTATCTTCGAGTGTTGAAAAGATCTCAACACGAGAAGGTTTTCAACACTAGAAGATAAATTTCGTATCTCCAAGCGCCCATGTAATATTCTGTTTATTATATATTTATCCATAAAATCAACTTAATATGCTTTTTATTATTATAACTAACTAACTAATAGCTTAAATACGGAAAGTAACAATATTTTCAAATGTGAAAATATCAGTTTTTCGAAAAGGAGAAACATAGGTATTTTATGGATAATTATATGATAATATATGTTATTACATCACAGGGAAAAAAATGCATATTAGTCTGTCATACTTACCATATTTCTTGCGAATTTCATCATATTTAACTTGTCTTTCAGCACGTCTAAATAATTAAAAAAAAAAAAACAGTTCCTAAGATCCTTTTAACACAATTTTTTCGCCACCAAGGAAGTGACATACTACTAGAAATGTAGAGAGGGAGTCGAGAGGAAGGGCACTCCTGTCTAGGTTATGCTTAAATCCACTATTACTATCTTACAAACAAAATTTTCCAGTGTGTTATTTTACTTCAAATTACCTTTGAGAATGTTTGAGATCTATTTCTTCCCGTTGACGTCTAAATCTAGCTTCCTCTTTGCTTTCCCTTGAATTTTAGAAAAATAGATGTATAAGCACATAACTATTTTATAGACACAGTTATGGTAACTTTTGAAAAAGAGCTCTTTCTTATAGTGGTTCTCAATACCTGCACAGAATCATCATGGAGGCAAAGGAGGATTTTGTGGGCATATATAATGTTTCCATTACATCGTTTCAATGGCATGTGACTGTGACATGGAATGTCTAGACTTGCTTCAAACTGGCCTCTTTGAGACTCAGAGAGTCACAAGTGAAGCAGAATAAAAAAGAGAGGATTTCCTTATACATTTGGCATCAATAATAGTGTGTACTTCTGTAGCACATGCTAAATTTTTGTACGTTGATAAAGGGTTATATAATTTCATTTTTGGATGGCTAAAATTGGTGGGGAACAAGTGAGGCCCGATTAGCTGGGGGGTTCATATCTATAAAATATCTGAGTTATAAGGTATATGCTGATTGGTTGCCTACCATGTTTATATTAGAGGACACAGACATGTAAAATCATTCAAAATTATTTTATAAAAGCAATACAAAACAGCTGCTTATGTCACTGTACTGTGGTTTAACAGTTTGGGAGGTGTAGAGCACTTGAAAAGCAAGAGAAACACTTGTTTATGCTTCATGTTCCTAAGCTTGATTATATGATTCATGCTATACAGCTCCTAGTGTGCAAGTTTCATATTTCTTACCGCCGTTTGCATTGCTAGCGGCCACCCCAGACAAAAATCGCGACGTGCACTTTGCAATAGACTGCCGTCAATTAAACAAGTTGACATCATTTACATGCGTTTGAATCGGCCAGGATAGTCCTTGTGAGTGTGGCTCATGCGGCTCAATCAACAAGTTTTGGCGCCTTTTGAATCACACACGCGTGTAAATGGCATCAACTTGTTTGATTGATGGCAGTCTATTGCAAAGTGCACGATTTTTGTCTGGGGTGGCCGTGTAGCAATGCAAACACCGGTAAGTATGACTTCAGCACACAAGAAATTATGATGGAAAAGGTACTGCAGACAAAGTTTGAGAAATAGAGATATGGCATTCACATTGCCCTTAGTGTCATGGGCATGGTATTTAACATGCAACAAAACCTTCAGCAATCTTCTTTGAAATAGCTGTATACTTACTTCTTTGAATGCCCTTTCTTCTTACGACAGCAACAGCAATAAATCAGACAGCAAAGAGCAATAAGAATTGCACCAGCTATACTTGGTAAAACAATGATCAAAATCTTTCCACTTACTATAAAAAAAAAACGTTCAGACTGTCATGCATCAAATTTTAATTTTGGGGTTATCAAATATTTGCTACATAACCAGACAGTTGTCTCACCCTTGGGATTTTAAAAAGTAGTCCATATGATGGAAGTATTGAGGTAAAAGTATTAGATAACTTAAGCTTTACATACAAACACATTGTCCTACTTTCCACTGTGAGTCTTTACAAGCACCATGAAAAGCTCCATTGACCACATCATAAGAACATTTCTTTGTTGGTTCACAATAATAACACTAAAATGAAAACATAAAACTCTCAACATCATCACTTTGCAGGCATTGTTTAAATTCTCCATTGATGGAGTATTGTAGTTTAATCAGCTCAGATCATCATTTTTATGAACACCTTCCGAAGCTTTTACTGTTCAATTGACATGTATTAAACACCTTTTCTCCCTCCCTCAACATGTGAGTTGAGAATTATATATATATGTGAAATATTCAAATGTTGTGGGAGTGTATGTGAGTGGACTCGGAGATATTAGCAGTTACTCTCAAATGTGAGGATAAATAAAAAGATCATTACAATTATTATTATTTTATACAATGTAATAGAACAGATTCCTCCCTTTCATAAGCCTCCCCTTTGATTATGAGCCCATTCAAAAACCCTAACAAAGCTGTATAATTATAAGTTCTACAGCATAATATCAACTCTATTACCTAGGATATTCCCTTTTCTACTCATAGTAGTACTCTTGAATGATGTATGACTTACCCCTTTGACTGCTACACAGTCACCACAGGAACCATTGGTGTGCTTTGCACATTCTTCGTCTGCAGCTGCAATGTCATTGACATAATTATGATCTTTTAATGAAGTTAATGATTTGAACACATTTTCCCATTCCATACATTCCAATCCTTTTATTGAAATAAATAATTAAGAAATAGTGCTTAAGTGTCACTCACTGCCACCAGTCAAAAATGTAAATGTACCAATGGATGGATGCAAAACTACCAAATTTAAAGTCGCAGCTACTTGAGAGATTATTTACTTGCACAGGTAACGCAATTTTTTTGCAATCACCAATCGTACATGTAGCAACCTTTGCAAATTGCAGACTTTGTTGCTCATGTAGCCACTCCGCAACTTTTCCTTGCACTCTCAATGCAAATAAAGCCTAAATATGCAAATAAAGCGCATCTAGCCAATAAGGTTCAAGAACAAAAGTGATGCTTTTTAAATGATGGATGAAAGATGAGCATTTGTCACCAGCATTTGTTGCAAGCATTTGTCAATTGTGTGGTCACCAAAGCATTTTAGTGTTTTCAGAATACTGCATCACCTCTGCAAGCAAAAAAAAAACAAAACAAAAAACAAGTGTGCAACTTGCAGCTATTGAATTCTTGCAATGTAAAAAACTTCTATATTTTAACTAGACATTTAAATTATTACATTGAAACTATTTTACAAAGGCCAACTATAGAGCAGATTTTCCTAGTTGAATAAAATATACTACCAGCCTTCATTGCTAAGCGATGATTATTTCCATTGAGTCCTCACATGGAAATCCGGCAATATATTACTGTCAATCAAAAAATTTGTTTGTATACTTTATATACTCTGATTGAGTATATTGTTTTGATCAGCTCGTAGCATTGAAAACAGCACTTCAATACAAGAAGTATGTGCACACTGCCATAATTAAGAAATATGATGTTATATAACAGCTTATGAGTAGTGAAATCTTATGTTAAATTCAGTACAAAAAAACCTCTTGAAACCCTAAAATCATAATAACGTAATCGCTTTATTTCATACGCGTCATTAATTTTAATTTAATATTGCCTGCACACAAGTCACATCGATCGATACAAAAGGGAGTGGTGTAAGCTTATATATAATATAATTTTTTGTTATTTGTCATTCCGTCATTTGTCATTGGAAATGAAGGTACACATTCAATGATATCTTACAATAGTTAACTTTAAATTTAGTCTGGAAAACCATTAAACTTAAACTTTAAAACCTTTTCTGAGCACCTTTCAAACGTAAGCTTATTTCAGCTTATATATATTTATGAAAGATTATGATAAGGAAGTAATCTTTTCACAAAAATGCAGACTGGCTGAGTAAAACAAAGACTTTTTCGTTATTATTTCTCTATTACTTGTGTCGTTTGCACGATAAGACAAAGATCATTATACGATTTATTCGCTGAACAAACTTATTACTGTACAATTTTCCCCGATTTTAAATGGAGGTGCGAAAGTTTACTACGCAATAGTTAAGTCATACCATGATTTTTTAACAGAAATCTAGAAGAAATAGAAGAGTATATTGTTGGTTATTACTTACATAGGGTTTTGTTAGCAGCCTGGACCGTTGAAAGACAGTAAAAACATAAATAAGTGGCAGTAAAGAGTAGCAATATGTTCATGATGTTAGCCATGTCTTGTTGTGATGTCTCCCTTCGTCTCTGTTCTTTCATCGAACAGCATTGTGGGTTGATTAACGCAGGAATCCCACGCACTCCTACACTGACGTCACCATTGTGACGTCACTTGACAGTCACGTCACTTGACTCGAGAAGAAAACATGACTAAACACAGGGAACCTTACGGAGCCCGATTAGTGCCATGCAAATTTCGTGATTGTTTTTACTTTTCTCGACTTTTTTCTCGGCTTTTTTCTCGACTTTTTTCTCGACTTTTTTCTCGGCTTTTTTCTCGACTTTTTTCTCGACTTTTTTCTCGACTTTTTTCTCGACTTTTTTCTCGACTTTTTTCTCGACTTTTTTCTCGACTTTTTTCTCGA